ACGTTGCTTGCACCTAGTAGTATATCATCCACAAATAATTATAATTATTTGGTCAAAACCTGTAACCTTGAGTTGTATTGGACATTTTTCTACGATATTGAAGTCCACGAATTAATTAATTAAATTAATACTAAAGTGACTGCACGTAACTTAATAAAAAAAAATTTTTTTTGGTCTAAAATAAGTGGAATGCATACGTGATTAGGTGAATTAAATAAATGAGTGATTCCATTATCTCTTAATTATGTAATTAATTTTAATGTAATCTTTCGCGGAGATCCATCAAATTAAAGTATTAATAGTTGAAAAATCTGTGCTTAAAAAATGGAATAAGCTACAATTTTATTTTATACTTTATTGAAGTGACTTGCACGAATTTTATACTGTGTTTAATAGAAAGGATTCGATCGAAAAAGAAAAAAGAAAAAGAAAATAAAAATAAAAATAGAATAGCAAATATTTAGAAAATATAATTTATTATGCAACTTAATTAAAAAAAAAACAGATGGCTTTGATTCCCTTAGTTTTTGGAACACAAGTTGACCACCATCAAATTATTCTAAATTCTAATTGATATATTCCCTATCGTTTGGTGGTAATAGATATTTCGAGATTGTAATAAATTAAAATCAAAATAAACTTTTCTTCCTTGATCACAAAAAATTATATTCGATTTCCATTTGTTTGATGGTAAACTACACGATAAATAAATTATAAATATATGTTTAGAACGTTAGACCAAGGCCCTGTCTGGGCCAGCTTCCAGCTTTCCGAAAATTGATTCTGCCGTCAATTCATGTACAGTGCAATTTGGGAAGAATTCAAACATTAATGCCCCTCGTGTCACTGTGTAGCTGTGGTTGAAATAATGATTCTTTGACTATTCTTGCATGTGGGTTGTTTGAAAGTGGCCCAATTAGTGGTCATTTTTTTCTCCTGTTCCGTTGTCATGTTTGTCATCTTGTGTACAAAAAAAAAAATTGAAAGACTATTCTTGCAGGTTGGTATTTCGAAGCAAAATGCGGGCCCATTGTCTTCGATGTTTGGCATTTCATTTGTCTAGCTGTAGTTGAAATAATGGACTTGTTTTCTCGTCAACAATTTTAAAGCCGCAACAACGTATGCTCGACTAGTTTTTCACCCAATTTTTTTGCACTTTCGTTACACGAAATTATTTTACTCACGAATTACAATAGCACCACA